AAAAAGGCAATTTTTGTTAAAAGTTACTCTACTCTACATTATACTTTATGAATCAAGACCTAAAACAACCAAAATTTTTTAATAATATCACAATACCAAACTCATTACAATAACTGATATTTTTTTCTTTTTTAAAATCCATGTACATAAAAAAAATTCTGTAGTAAATCAATTTTCGTGACACTACCATATCATTATTGTAGTTAATCTAAAACTATAACCTTTTCATTTACTTTAAAAGTAAAAATCCATTAACAAGAAAAATAGATCGACGTTTCGATAGTAAAATAAAAACTAATTACATAGATAAAGTCAAATGAAGTTAATTTATTTGTTATCTGTGTTAAAAACAAAATGTCGGTTCGTGTTCGTAAGATTGGTATCATCTGTGGGCTTGTATATTTTTACTTTTTATTCTACAATTAAGAGAAGATAAAATTTACAGTGGAGTGGTAATGTTGGCAATTTCACTGCAACATACAACCATCAACTACCATGCCCAGTTCGATTGTAATTATACAGTGAAGCTGAAGGTAGGGTTATCTAAAATCGCTTAGTTCAGTGAGGAACACTAATTTGTAGCATCGAAATTGCTGCGATTTTAGTAATTCTGAAAAATTAAAACTGCTTTAAATAATATTAGTTATCATGATTTATGATATTAATATTAGTAATAATATGGTCAAATAATTATGTCTACACCGATGAAATATAAGCTGCTTTCGACAGTTTTGATAAAAAAATTACTAAACCTACATCTACCTAAAATGGCATAAAAGAAAGGGCGATAGCTATCATAATATAGTTTCACTTTAGACTATCGAGACAGACAATTAGTCGTTCTATACTATATGTTCGTTGTTAATACTTTTTTTATCGAGTTACAAATAATTCACGGAATTACACTTAATTGGAAATCCCAATTTAACTAACATCTAACCCGTAGTTCCAATTTGAAACTGTTTTTTAGGTAATCTTCGTTTCAAATTATTTGTCGTATTTCGCTTATTTCCAACGGTAAAATTAGGTTTAAAATAGACTCTAAATAGGATCTTTAAATGAGCAAGTAACATAAACAATTGAATAAAGCTTTTAAAAATTAATACTTTCTTGTGTTAATATATTAATGCAGATAACGTGACTTCTTTCAATTATACTTACAGCACATTAGAAGCATATACACAACAATTATCTATCAACATAAAGATGCACATTAATTACACGCGAGGGTTTTTTGTATTCATTATATTTCATGCATTTACTTGTACTATTGCTAATTGTAACAATATTTATTCAAGTCTAGCTGTTCTCGTGCCACTTCATCCGCATGAAATTATAAAAAAAAATTTTTTTTTTTGTTTCCATTTGTCAAATTATCGATTACAAATGTCAAAATGACATGACATGATGACAACCTTGCTTTCTTGATGTTGTCAGCAACTTATGGTCTCTTTCCCACATTTGGGTTCTTATCCAATATATTTACCCCTTAAGTTTAATGGCGTTAAAACATATAGCCGTGACACAAATGTAGGGTTTTTATTAAAAAAAGAATTATTCAAAAATACGCTGTAATTGTTGACATCTTAGGCAAGAAAGCAGTGTGTGTTTACGATTCATTATAATAATATATTTACAGGTCTTGTTATTGATATTTAAATCGTTTATAAGGTAAAGAGATTGGCTTGAGTTGCCCAATGATGGATGAACTACATTGCCTATGAACATCTCTAACGTATTCCAAATTGAAAAGACATTAAGTTTGCTACTAAGAATATGTATATTGAATGGTTTATTATAGTAGTTATTAGATGCAGACATATAGTCCCGTACCTTTGGAGATCCCAGGACTGTCTTCAGTCACACTCGAGGATTGCCTCCTTGGAGGTTTTAATGAGACTCACATAATTCTGTCTTTCTTAAAAAATAGATAAATAATTTCTGTCAAAATGGATAATAAAAAGAATGAATGCTTATTCGTTATCAATACCAAACAATTTTAATGAAGGATCTAAACCTTCAGAACGTAACTTAACCGTATTATTTTTTTTATTGTAAAATAGCTAATGGTGGAAACGGACTTTGAATAGCTTACGTCTAAGTACCGTCGCACTGTTGAATACTTAAATAACTTTTTTAAGATCATTTAATTATTCCTTTTAAATGTCTCATGAATATTCAACAATATCTTAAGTTATGGGATAAAAATGCATCGCAGCAGAAACTGTATTTAAAAGCTTCAGCTAGTCTAAGAAATTTAAGACAAAGTCAAATACATATTCCTATTTCAAAGACGATCAAACGGATGACATAAAAAGAAACACAAAAAAGAGTAAAAATATGGTTTACGTAACATATCAGTACTTCAAAAGGGCCACTACATCTACGTGTATACCAGCTGGTATACACATATATATGTAACTAAATATGATCATTTATAGTAAACATTGTCAATAGTACATTATAGTAATAAGATATTTTTTTTTTTTTATACCAGCAATGAGAACTTGTTTGCTTAAAACTTCAAAGTTAGTCTGTATTTTTTGTATTAATTATTGTCATGAGGAAAGATCCCTGTGATTATAATAAAGCGTAAACACACACTTCTTTGTTGCCTAAGATGTCAGCAATTACAGCATATTTTTGAATAATTCTTTATTTAATAAAAATCCCTACACTTGCGTCACGTTTTAGGCTACATATTTTAACACCATTAAACTTAGGGGGTAAATATTATAGATAAAAACCCTAATGTGTGAAAGGGATCATAATTTGCTGCCAATATCAAGAAAGCAAGATTGCCACGGTTTGTCATGTCATGTCTTTTTAACATTTGCTATTGATAATTTGACAAATGTAAACAATAAAATAAAATTTTCATAATTTCATGCGGATGAAGTCGCACGAGAACAGCTAGTATTGTATGATCATATACAAGCTTTCTATATAATTTTGTATTAAAACAGTCACAGGCAGTAATATTATTAGCTGGTAATATATCTTGTGAGGTACAAAATACAGTCTAGTATTAACTAGAACTCAAGCTTACGTAGATATCCTTTGTAGATACGTAAGGAAATTAGCGAATGTCGCGCAAATTCCTTGGACAAGGTGATACCTTGACCCAGATTTATTATTAAGACCTCGCCGGACAAGACTCGCTGATTATAAGGTGACAAATTGCCTATCACAACGTCACACGCATTATCTAATACAAAGTTATATTGGCCACAATGAGTTACATTGCCGTATCTTTTTGCACGTTTAGAACTAGTAGAGTCTTTTTGTATAAAATATATTATAAACCAAGTTATCTTTAATGAATAAAACATGATGGTTGATATCATCAGCACGTCCATCTTCAACTTTATCTTCCAAATCTTTCATAGATAGAAGTCCGTTTATGGTAAAATACTAAATTTTACATATTTTATATTACATACATAGAGCAAAGATTAGGACATTGATGGTTGTGATGACTTATGAACTAGCTTTCGCCCGCAACTGCATCCGCGTAGATTAAAAATTTGGAGCAGTGTAAGCTACAAACTCTTACATACATCCATTCACCCATCTAAACTTTCGCATTTATAATATTAGTAAGATGTAATAACTTAAATATGTCTGTATTTCGTATGAAATTAAAGGGTCAAAAAGTTTGGTTTGTTGATTTTAAGTCTTTAGCCGTATACAGAGAAGAAAAGAAACGGCGTCGCCGTCGTAGGCTGTAATTAAATCGACCACCCACCACATCGACCCCGGGGCCTTGACCGACAGCGCTAATGAGTTCACATCGACGCTCCGGCGACGCCTGATAGCCCGCCACAATGCCACAACCTACTACAATACCAAATTATTTAAGTATTTAAAAAAAACATCTATAAAACGCAAAGGCTGACTGTCTGTTACGTCCAAACATTTAAGATTTGTATTGATTTTTTAATATGACAAATTCAATTTTAAAGCACCTATTTTATCTGTGTAACCAAAATTAAAATTCAACTAGAATATCATTTTTTAAATAATTTTATTAACATGAATTATCTATCGCACTAATCTATACAGTTAGTACCTTCACATGATGTGTAGGTTTTCGTAATATAATTTATGAAGTAGTAAGTAAATTGAAATACCTAAAAACAAATATGCGCCGCCATATTGTTGCATTTCTCATGCAATGTCCCGTTCACAAAACAAAAATCAAACAACAAAAGGAAAACACCGACAAGCCGGTTACTAAACTTTTTTCTTTATTTCGAAGAACTAACGCGTGCGCGACGAACGAAAAAGGTGCTATGTCGCA